AGGCGTCACACGCATGCGCAATGGCTTCACTGCTGTGTACCCGCTCTGGGTGACATCCTGCCTCGGGACACCCCTGCCCCCTCCATAGACTTCAATGTGGTTTGATACAAATCTCACCAATATCAAGCAAGATTTGCAAAACTGTTCATAAATGTAAACCAGACAGGTTTACTCATCCCTAATCCTAAAGTAAACCTGCACTGAAAAATCATGATCCAAAAAAAATCGAAGCCAATACATGCCACTCTCTAATGCCTATGGACAGTGTTATGCCTATGAGATGTCTTCCCCTCAGCAAGGTTGGTTCTGGAGCAGGGGTGGACAAACACTGTCCTTCCAGCTGTGGTGAAACTACAAATCCTATTATGTATCTGTCTCTGGGAATCATGCCTGAGGCTGTGAGAATTACATAGTTCATAGTTAGCCAGGTTGAAAAAAGACACAAGTACATTGAGTTCAACCTATAGAGATAAGATAAGAAAAAAAAAGAAAGAAGAAAAACCTAAAACAGAATGCTATACCCACAGTTAGCCACTGTAGATGCAGAGGAAGGCAACAAACAAAAAAAAACCCCTTTTAAGCATAGATCAATTTGCTCTAACAGGGGAAAACATTCCTTGCAATGCCTCATGGGATTTGTAGTTCCAGCAGTTTACCCACCTGCTCAAGAGCAATACAGAAAGGGCATTTGTCCAAAGCCCAACCCATCCTAGTATCCTCTGGACATGCTGCAAGCAAAGCAAGTCGCACTATCACACAAGTTCTCTGTTTCAGCAAAGCAATATCACCTATCTGTTTTTTGAGCCTAGCAATATCTGGCTGTGGGCCCCCATCCCAGTTTCCTTAACCCCCACAACAGCAGAAAAAATAGATACTGAGTGATCGATTTTTGTGAATCAGGTTTTGGGTGCACTTACCCTTTAAAATGCTAGTGTAGAGTACTGATACGGAGAGAAGAAAATTATATATATACCTGCCAGCAGTAAATTGTAGATTTCTGTTTCAGTCTCCCAGAATCCCTTGTGACTCCAGTACTCCTCGCAGTCATAGCCTGTCATCTGGAGATTGCACTGCGCATCTAAGCGAACACTGGAAACATTATGACTGAAAATATAAACATCAATACGGCAACAAAAGCAGGAGATGCGAATGCATGGGTTCCACTCATAGCGACTCCGTGTGTCATTATCGTGCCTGCGCCTTTTGGAAAACCGTATTAAAGGTTGATAGCATTATCGCTGCAAAATAACTTTAAAAGTCTGTAATTTGTAACTGTAGGCTTTCAGCAACATTAAATTGTTTGGAGCGATCGCTATAAACCTGACAGGAACAGACAGAACGTTTGATAACACAATTTCCATGTATGCCAAGCAGGGAAGAGTAAATTGTCGTCTGAACTGCTTGGTCTGGATTTTGCTAGCAACATTTTAACCCTTTCATGCCTAGTGCCAAAGTGGTGCTGCCTGGAAAAGCTTTAGCGGTTCTGTCTGTACTTGATAGAACATGTTTTCAAGTATCTTCATTCATCTATAAATTCTTAATGAAACTCCACACAAAACCCACGTTTATTAATAGAGGGAGTCTAAAACGATTTAATGATTATGACTAATGATATGTTGATAACACTGTATGCAAAGTCCTTAAAGTGACACTAAACTCAGGAGCTGAATCTTAAATAATGCATTCAAGTACCATAACTATTAACACAAATGTAGTTTATTTGTGTATCACTCGGCTGTAGATCCTCAAATCATCTCTGAATTGGTGCTGACACTGTCCTTCCTTCTGGAGGAGCTGGATTCCCCCCTCCCGACTCCGATCCTCCAGCGCTGACTGGCAGAACGGACGGGGGAGGGGGCGTGTACAGCCGGCTCTGCCTCTAGATAGGCAGAGCCAGCTGTCACTCACGCAGCTGGGCGGATCCAGACATAATTGTCGGGATCCGCTTCAGCTGCGGCGTCTCAGTATACCGCAAGCTGTAGCTCGCGGTATACTGAGCTTAGGGTGACGGGAGGACGCTAGTTTGTGTCCTCCCGTTACCCTAAGGAGAACTATGGGGAAAAGCCTTAACCCAATAGTTCTCCTTTAAGGCCAGTTTTCTTTGCTAGGCCATTAAGTGACTTTCCCACTCACTGGTATTCATATACAGAACAGCCATGTGAGATGAGAATACCCAAAATTTACACCTAGAAAGTTATTTGGTGACATTTCCCTGGAAGCTTTACCTGAAGTCTCCCTACTTGTGCCTTATACTCTAGTAAAATGATTACTGTCAAACTCTTTCAGAGAAATAATTATGACAGCATGAGAAAAAGTGTCTACCTATGAATCAAGTAGTAAGTGCCCCCTCTTCCTGCCTCTCAGGAAAGAGATTTTCCTATCTCTGTCTCTAACACTTGTGATTTATTTGCTGATCTTTGCAAAGCATGGTCATTTCTAACCTATGGAATTGATACCTCCATAATCCACACATCCAATAATATTGCTGATCTCTAATGAAGCTTCTGCTCTCCGGCTGAGGGCGACTGCAATAGATAAACCATACCAGATAAACCTTGATCTGCATAAGCCTAGTTGATCCTTTACAGGTTGGAAGTGATGTGGAAAAAAAGAACTATCTCAAAGGCTCATATACACTGTGCATTTAGATAGTTGCCAAAACCATGTATAAATATTTTGCATCAATACTTTAATAGAATGTGAAGCACAGGTGGCTGTCATTGCTTATGCACATTTCTAGGGAAGTTTAATAGAATCTAATAATAAAGTTTAGATGAGGTTGACAGTTGGGTTGGCTTTGGATTGCTGAACTGTGGAGTCTTGGATACGGTGATCTGGTCTAAACAGAGTATTTTTTAATAGCAACTGAATGAAACAGGCAAGCTGTAGTATATTTGAGGTCAGTTCCTAAGCCTGCAGAAAATAGATTTGCTACATGGGAGATTGCTTAAGTCTGAAATGTGTGGGTTGATTTTGTTAGAAATATTGCAGACTTCTTTACTGTTATACTTGTGATAAAACTGGCCGATGGAGAATATTTTTACAAATATGGTAGAGTACCAAGATTCTCTGGGACTGATAAATTACGGGAGACTCAGGATTACAGCTGCCACTAGCCCTGAGTTATTCAGAGTGTTCCTGTACACCTTTAGACCAATTGCTACATTTTTAAAAACATAATACATCCCATTTGTTTGTGCATTTCCTGAAGGTACGCTCTATGCTAAATCTCTAATGCATCTCATATATGTTTGAATGACATGGCAGTGACATGTAACTCTTTACAGTTTGCTTTAATTTAATTTTCATATGGGTAGGTCTAATGTAAACCTGTCACTTTGCCCAATTGGAACAAACTGATAAGTTGTCTTAATTAAATCTTCCCAACTTCCACTAATATTGTCTTGCTGTGCTCCTCCAGTAGTCCATTCTACTGCCAGAGCCCATGAAAATACCTGGTACTCCATGAATAGGAAAGAATGTGATCTCGCTTTCTATGATGCAGTGCTTGTAGTCTGAGAACTAAGTGCCAAACTCATGCATGCTGTGCTTGCCAAAGTCAAAGCCTTGTGTAAGCTCCAACATAGAGCTAACACATGACTTTTTACTCAGGGTTTCTTAAGGTAAACAGCATGGTGGGGATTGCAGGGAGGGTAAGTATCAACAAAGTGAAGGGGTGGAGTTATCAAGAGAACTTGCTACTTTGTTCTAAATGGACAAATAACAGCTTTACTTTAATTAAACCTGTCACTACCCCTCAAAAACAAAACTATCCTTTAAACGCTAGAATAACCTCTACCAATTGTTCATTGTGGCCCTTCCTGTTTGAGAACATTGCTACGAAGAGACCTCAAAACCCTAGGTTTTGTGGGCACTTAGGCATACTCCTAACACGTTTCACAATGCAGTAAGGAAGCCTATCAATAGGTTGCTGAGGCCCTGAATTTCATTGTGCATTATGACTGTAGCACTCCTATTGGTCAGCAAAGAAGATTCCTTATAGATGCTCCCTTTAGGAAACCATATTCTTGCAAAGCTCCCGTTAGATACTACCTTCCAGCAGAGCAGCAACAGCCCTGGGCCTCCAGCACATATCCTGAGCTGAGGCAAGGCCGAAAAGAGAAACAATGCTGACATCCTCTCCAGGCATAAGCCCAGGAGAGAAAAACAATACTCTCCAAAAGTGCTCCAAATATTTATTATTTCCCCAGTCCACACCACTGAACAAAGACCCCAGTGATTTGACAAATATTCATAATACATATAGTATACAAATCAGTGATTGCCCTTTCCACACTGATCACTGGAACAGGCAAAAATAATCAATATACTGGGCTTAGGAGAACCAGCAAAGGTCAGAAATTGTAAACAAAGCCCAGGCTAGTTACAGCCTAGCTGAAAAAATGCACTACATTTAATTAAGGACACCCCAGCTTAGCAGAGGGTCCCTACACAATGTTGCAACGTACATATCATGCACAGAGGGAAGTCATTTATCCAGCTACTGAGATGGCTGTAAATGTAGTAACAAGCAACCAGGTGTCTCCTGCAGCACTGTCCTGTGACCTATAATGTCACTTCCAGAAGACAGAGCATTGCTGATACATGAAAAGGCCACTTTCCACCTTCTATGCAGTAAGCTAAATATGACATTACAGCAGCAACGAGGAACAGTAATACGGTAGCATACACTTTGCCACCAACCAGCAAAAGATAGATGTAATTGTGGGTCATATCTTGATCCCCCCAGCTGTACGCAGGCCATTGCTGCACAAAGCATTTAAAAAAGGAACAATACTCAAATGTATAAGGCAGCATGTAAAGCAGAAGGATATGGCCCCAGTTAATTTCCAATACATACTTCACATGGTCCAGGTTTACAAAAAAAGATATATAACACCATCACATTTTACAGATATATATATACAGATTTTACAGTACATACCTTAAGTTCTTTCTTCTTAGGCCTACCAAAGTTCACAGATAAAATCAAAGGATACAAGTTTCTTCTGTGTAGGGTATTGTGCTACTGGTCCCTCCTACCAGATAGCTATAGAAGGAGACTTCCAAGGTATAACAATATGAAGAATCATCTAAAAGACCTCCCAAAAACCTTCTACCGGTCCCAGCCTTCATGGTGTCTCGATTGAAGGATGTGCTGGACTGTAAAAAAAAAACAGTGTAAAGATACTTGTAGGGGGAAATTCTGACTTCAAATGACAAGACATTTAATTTTGTGAAAAAAACATACAGTGTCAAACTTATGCATCTCATTGAGTGGAAGGAACATACAGATGAATAAATCATATTTAGGTCAAAATCAAATGTAAGCCACCTATCAACTTTATGAGATTGCAAGGAAAGGAAGTCTTTTAGTGTCTCCTTCATATTTTTGGAGCAAGTTTTAAAAACGGAACCAGACACAGTTATATTCCTACTTTCCATAATGCTAACATGTGTTAGCATTATGGATAGTAATATTAACACTTTTGAATGTTCACAATAGCCCGTACAGCTCCCGAACTTAGCCGAGCGGCTCAGTTGGCCGGCCGACAGCCTGCTTCTGACAGCTGGGCGGAGCCAGGCGTTATCTTACGGCTGGCTCCGGCCACTTGCAGAGAGATCAGCGTCCCTGGTTACCAGCTAACCAGGGACACTGATCTCCAGACAGCAAACTCTCACGGGCGCTCCAGTAGAGAAACACTGCTTTTTCTTTTTCTTTATTCTGACACGGAGCCGTGTCAGAATAGAAAAAAAAATTATAATTTTGCCCATAGGAATGCATTGCTAGATTCCTATTGGCTATTTCAATTTGCAATAGCCAGCGGCATTCGGCTATTCACTCACTGCTGTTCGGCATCTATAAGAATAGACCGAACAGCAGCGAGTAGCCTGCCGGAGGTTCGGCTTAGCCGATTCAGATGTTGGATCGGCTGAGTCGAACTCCTCCTGCACTTCGGGTCGGCTGAACATGCTGAGCATGTTCGGCTGACCCGAAGCCATGTGAAGCCACCCGATGTACGGCTGATTTCAGCCGATATACGGCTGAAATCAGCCGTACCAGCCTGAAGTGAATAGCCGAACAGCGTTCAGCTCACTTCACTTCAGGTCGGTCTTTCACTCGGCTGCCTTTGGCAGCTTAGTGATTAGACCCCTGTATGTCGAGCTGGGTAAGGTATGTCCACATACCTGTCACTAATTGAAGCTCTATCCTTAGATTTGGTCTGTAAGTTGGGGGATTTCCCTGGACTTTGTCTCTGCGCTTACCAATGGATTCTTTTAATCGGTAACCTCTGATATGTGGCTCAAATGTTTTTCCATTTTTCACATTGAAGACATTTGTCTTTTAATGACTAGAACTGAATGCATCAAATTTTGTGCATATGTAGTTTGATGTACTGTCACGGGAATGGGGTTGTCGGGACTTGTAAATGAACACTATTTCCCTGAAAGAGCGGTTTCACAATGAATTACCGGGGTTGGCGGTTTACTCTGATTTGGATTACTGGATTACTGGATCTGGAATATCTGAGAAGAGCTGAGTACTACCAGACCATTAACTTTTTCCATAGTTCAGGGAGAAGAAGAATCTGCTGCCACTAGGCGGGTCTCAGACAAGATCGCATGGAACTGTATCATGGCTGGAGACCAAGATGGCTGCTGATGAATTTAGACCCATGTCGCTTCCATATCCCTGTACCCTAGGATGTCACTCTTCAAAGGGGCTCCTTGGGAACAGGAGTTGTGCACGCTAACTTCCAGCGGGAGTTAAGGAGCGCACATCCCATGTACATGGACATTGCCCAGAAACGTTGAACTGCTGTCACTTGAGCCAGTGTCCACAGATCATGTTGCTTTTTGGACTGTAACATCCAGGTGCTCAGAGCTACTAAATGGTACCATGGGCTCTCCTCCATTACCTTCAAAAGTACCCAAGAATTGTATCAGTCCTGTGGGCTAGGGACATGCGACTGAAATGTGGTGTCAGGTTGTCTGGGGGTCATAACGTGATTATGCTCTCATCAGATTTTGTACAGTATAAAAATGGTGTGTTGGTTCAATAAAGCTCACTCTATCAGCTTTACTCCACAGCCTGTTTTGTCTGGTGTATGGGGTAAACATGCTATAACACACTATTCTTTGTGGGTGTTCCAGTGAATGGGACTTACAGTATGTTTTATGCATTTAGAATGTCTCTTGAGCTCCTGAAGAAGTTACTTTACCAGTGAAACGCTTTCCTTTAATATCTCCACTGCAATATGATATGTTGAACCTGAAATTCTGGTTGATGTAAGTGTGAATATTAAATATATATGGTAGAAGATGAAATAGATGAGGATCAATGAGACAAAAGCCTGTTGGAGGAAAGTCACTTTTATCGTGAAATAGATCTATACATCATATGCTTTTATTTGTAAAAAAAATATGTACATAACGTTTCTTGATTTTATAATACTTGATGCTTTATGTGGGTACCTTAAAAGTCCATCAGTCACTCAAATTACTTATGCTCTTTAACTGTGGTGCCCCCTGTAGTGTAACTCACTTCACTAAATTTCATGTGAACACTTTAAGATCATTGCAAATGACAAGGGGGCACTCTTTGCGGCTGAAGGAAAAGTGGTTTAACCTCCTATACAGAAAGAGTTTTTAATAGGAACAGTGAAAATGTGGACTCTCACAGGGGCTACCTCTAGCCAACTCTATGTGTTTTTAAATGTACAAAATGTAACTGGCTATTATCATATATTTGTTCATCCAAAGATTGCCTTAGGGGATCAGGAAGGAATTTTCTTGCCTACTTTGAGAAAAATGGACCCTGCGTTAAAAAAGTTTTTCCCTTTCTCTGCATCAACTGCAAGTTTACTGCCTACTGGGGCCGACTGTTTGCATCCACATATGAGTGTCCACAGGTAGTCTCAGTGTGGTGGCAGCTATCATTGTCACAGCTCCTACCACCCGCAGCAGATCGCATGAGTTGTATGGAAGTATTCATGACACTCATGTGATTGGTCCAATTCGCAAGTGAGCTTGGGTCCTTCGGGATTTGAGGATACAGGTTTTTATTTTTGTCTTTTGATTAAACTCAATGGACATGTATGTTTGTTTCAGCCTGACTAGCTATGTAACTGTTACAAAGCAAATGGGCCCAAAATATTACAAAAGCTAATGATGCTGAAAAAGTAAAAGTGAAAATTAGTAAGTGTAGTTTAAAATGGTATCGTGATTTTATAATAACTCCAAAATGTTTCTCAAAGCAGAATAAATCTGATAAAGCATTACCTTACTCTGAGTCTGGAAGCCAATGTCATTAATACAGGCAACTTCATATATCAGCAGAACAATTAACAAAAGCAGCAGTTTGAAAATGAGAACATATTTCTTTCGAGTCCTCTCCACTTGTCATTGATATATGAAGTGTAAAGAGGGCTCTTTCCTTTGTACTCACCACCTGACCTTCTGGATTCCACACATGGAGAAGAGAATAGGTTACACACAGTGGATTGCAGGCTATATTAAGAGAATGAAAGAGCATTTGGCTGACGTATGGAGGAAGATGCTCTTTTGACCATATGACATAAAGACAGAGGCATTACTAAAAACCACAGAGCCCTGGAGTAAAATCAGACAGGGGCCTTTCATGCTGTCATTGTCAATTTTATTGCCTATTTAAAAAGTTTTCTGCTTTGCCTTAAAATAATCCAGAATTAAAATAGTTAAAGTAGAAATCCAGTTTTTTTTAGTTCATTTCACACTAATGTTTATAATTAGTGATAGTGCCTCCTAAGAGCCCACCACCACATTCCCTTGCTGCCTCCATACCATACCCCACAACTATCCCTCATTTGTAGGGACTTTCCCTTATTTGTAACCAAATCTCTCTGTCCCTCTTATCTCCTCAAGTGTCCCTCTTCTTGGCCTGATGTACAGATATCTAAGAAAAAGTTCTATTCAACTACCTAAACCTTTACATTATCTCCTAATTATCTTGTTTCCTGTTTTGAAAAGCCAGTGTACAAAAATGTAATGGTGGAATAAAACATCCATTCTGGTTTAAAAAGAGAACTATGGCTCAAACTTTTTTTGGCCATAGGTCTCTTTAGGGTCACAGGAGGACATTTATTATGTCCTCCTGTGACCCAAAACTCAGCACAGTACAGCGTTGCGGCCGGGAAAGATCCTGACAATAATTCCTGGATCCACCCCGCCATCTGATTGACACACTGCCCCCTCCCCTGTCTGTCCCACCAGTCAGTGCTGGAGGAACGGAGAGGGGTGGAGGGAATCGCTGTGGGGAGGGGTGACTGCCAAGTCACCGATCTCTGCAGGGAGAAGATCGGGAACTGAGCGATCAGCGGTATGTGATCACTCTCGGTCTCTCGGTCTATAGAGCTAAAGTGTAACACCTTCAGTGTCACACATCAGCTGTAATTATGGGGATGAGTGTATTTTATTCTCCCCATAACTCTCCTTTAACCAATCATTTTTGTCATCAAATTCCTAACGGTCCATTACCTACATTATGAAGGAATAGGAAGGTGTTCTTTCTCACCTCAGAAGGTTGGGAGGTATGCTGTGTGGTCTGTCAAAGTCCTTCCTTCAAAACTCTAAAGGTATGATGCATCATGTGACCTTCCCCATGTGACAGTGCCCAGGCCTTAGCGAGTAAGTGCCATGCTGGAACACTGTCAGATGGGGGGAACTTGGGCTGAGCAATGATGTCATCCACCTGGGTAAGCTCATCCAACACCAGAGCATACCTATCATAAAGCATAAGAATCTTAATTTCTGCAAACAAATTGCCAATTTTACAACTTATGTTCTTTACACTGGAATAGAACATAATAGAACACTTTATAGAGACCTTTTAAGAGTCACTTTAGAGAGACCTATACAGACTCACTAATGGATGGCGCCATTGTCACCAGATTTAGTTAATGAAATGGTGAATGTCTTACCAATGGGCTAAAAATGCTTGCCATGAGCTTTTATTTGTTACAAGAAGAAATGCAACACTCTAGACCATTGGTGGGTCCCTTTACCAAGTCCCTTTACCCTGTTTCCTGAGGAAGGGGGCCATAAATTACTTTGAAACTTTGCATGTCTTCTTGTGACAAATAAAAACTCACAAAGAGCATTTGTAGGGTGGTGGTGATGGTTGT